GGGGGGCGGGGCTGAGAGCGCCGTCTGCCCGCAGGTGGGCACTTGGAGGTGGAGCCCCCAGACTCCGTGGTGGCAGTGTCCTTGGGCGGGTCTCAGCAGCTCACCTGCCGGCTGGTCTGCCCTGACCACAGGACCCGCTCGGTGCAGTGGCGGGGCCTGGACACCAGCCTGGGCGCCGTGCGGTCGGACGCGGGCAGCAGTGTCCTCTCCGTGCGCAATGCGTCCCTGTCCGCGGCCGGCACCCGCGTGTGCGTGGGCTCCTGCGGGGCCGTCACCTTCCAGCAGACCGTGCAGCTCCTGGTGTTCGGTGAGCTCCCACCCCTCCCCGCCGCCTGTGCACCTTCTGGCCACCCAGCAACCCTGCCTTACCTCCCTACCAATACCACCTGTTCCTGGGAGCCTTCCCAGATTGCCCACCCTGCCCCCCAGCTCAAAGGCTGTATCAGCTCCACCCATGTCGCTCTGCAATCCATTTCTTCCCTTCATCATCCCTCCTCCCCCTACCTGACCCCCACTCTTTCTGCTCTGGACCTGTCTCCAGTACTTGACATTCTAGACACACAAGCTGTGGCCGCTGGGTCTTCCCCTGACCCCACGCACCAGCAGTCCCCACTCACCCCTTGGCCCCACCCCAAGCCCCCTCCTCAGGGCCCAGTACTGACAGTATGGGCTCGGCCCGCCCAGCTCACACCCTCTGTCCACAGCATTCCCAGACCAGCTGACTGTCTCCCCAGTAGCCCTGGTGGCCAAGCAGGACCGAGAAGTGGCCTGCACCGCCCATAACATCACACCTGCCAGCCCTGAGGCCCTCTCCTTGTCCCTGCTCCTGGGGGACCAGGAACTGGAGGGGGTGCAGGCCCTGGGCCGGGATGTGGAGGAGGAGCCCCAGCAGGGTGAGGACCAGCTGCTTCGGGTAACAGAGCGCTGGGTGCTGCCCCCGCTGGAGACCCCCACCCCACTCACCCTCCGCTGCCGAGCAACCATGAAACTACCTGGCCTGAAGCTGAGCTACCAGCGGGCCATTCCAGGTGAGTCTTCGGGGTTCTGGCCAGCCTGCACTCAGTGCCCCAGGAAGTAGGTGAAGTCCCCCCACCCAGCTCCTATGAG